GAGAAGTCTGCGAGGTCAATGAGCTTGGTATGTGTGATGGGTCTCCTCACCGCTTTGCCAAATGCGGTGGGAACCGTAGTCTGGAGCTCCCAGTTTATCTCGTTCCTTTGCTTTCTGCTGCTCATTAAAAGACAGAATTCAAATCTCAGTGGTGTGAGATGGTAGGGCTGTCTGAAAGGGTTTTCATTCTGTGGCTTCCCAGATTTTTGTTCAGGCAAAAGGAGCAGAAGTTTTCCTGAAGTAAGCCACGCTTTCGCAGTAAAAACACTGAACTCGGGTCACCTTACGCCGACTTTATTCAGTCCGTCCTTTGCTATCTGTAACATGAGGATGACAAGTGCACCTTAAAGGATTGTTCTGAAAACTATGGTAGTTTGTAAGCATTGCTGCAGTCTTACCAGAATATACGTCAAATACAAATATTCTCAAATTTGTTCATCTCTCAGGGTTGAGTTCAGTATCGTGTTCTGCTGTGGGGTTTTTTTTCCTTCTGTTTTTAAAAATGTGGGACTGTTCTCACATTTGCTGTGTATGTTCTCCATATCTGAGTTACCATACAAGATACTCTGCGTGCTGACGGTGGGTACAAAAAGATGTTTGTAGGGTTTAGTTTCTGAAAATCGCAGGTATCGTGTTGGGTAGGAAGGTAAGTCTGTATTAGCAATGAGTTCAAGCTTCTCAATCCTGAACAGAAACACAGGAGACTGAGTCTTGTGTCTCATTCTCACAAACTACTGTAGAAATTGTGGCCTTCCCAAGTATTCCTTGAATCATCCAACTGTATGTTACATAGTTTGACTCCCAGATTTCAAAATGGGATCAATGCCCAGAGAGGTGGTGGAGGCCCCATCCCTGGGAACATTCCAGGCCAGGTTGGACGGGGCTCTGAGCAACCTGATCTGGTTAAAGGTGTCCCTGCTCCTGCAGGGGGGTTGGGCTGGGTGACCTCTAGGGGTCCCTTCCAACCCAAAACATTCTATGATTCTATAAGAACCTGTTGCCTGCTGACATCAAAGGCGCTCCAGAAATACAGCTACCTGCTTCTGTTCAGAAGAGGTACGGAGTGATTTCTTAACACGAGCCTGCCCCGAAGCAAGCGTGAAACAAAGCTGTATCCCCCAATTTGGGCTGAACACCATGTTGCCCTACAGAGGACCGTTTTTCAAGCGCAGTAGAAAGGGTAAGCGTGGCTGCTGCAGCAGCAGATGCAAAGCCCTGCTGTGGGAGAGCAGGGTTTGTTCTTGCCTTTCACATCTTTATGGCTTCCCGCGCTGCACCACCCTGCTTTTCGGCTGCGGGCACGGAGGGAGTTTGGCACGAAGACAGGAGACCTACCGAGCACTGCCGGGCAGCGGCAAGCATGGCACAGCTCCTTCTCCTGTGCCAGGCGACCTTCTGATGGCGGACTTTCGGGGGCATACGTTTCACGCGGGCACAGCTAGCTCTTAATTTAAAAAATATAACAAGCTGAAACTACCCTGGGGCAAAAATAAATGACTGCAAGAATACCAGAGGATTGAGCAACATGCTAAAGACATGTTGTTTCCTTTAAGGATTCTGACTATAAATGACGTCACGTAGATAGTTTGGATGTTTGTGAGCACTACAGGGCTTGGAAAGGGAAAGCAAATCGGAAAAACACTGGGAAGCTGAACAATTTGTTTTGTTTTATGACTCCCTGGTAGTTTAATGAGGGAGCTATTACTCATGCACTGTCACTGCACATCTAGAAAATTCCTTTGGGTTTAAAAACTGGCAGGAAAAAGTAGTTTCCTAAAAACCACTGAATTAATGAGATAAAGCCCGTTGCTCAGGAGTCCCGAACAGGAAGGGTCAGAGGCGGAGTTGTGCAGGACTCAACGGTGTTTTGGAAACCTTCTCCGCAGGGTGTTTGAAAGAGCAGGTAGTGCTGGTGGGAATTCAGGGAAGTGATGCAGGAGACGTGCTCAGCATCTCTTTTCTAGGATGCGGCACTATGGATTGGGGGAGAAAAAAGACTGGTTTGATGGGGGCATTGTAGCCAATCCCCTCCATTCCCTTGCATCCAGAAATATCTGGGACTGGGGTATCTCCTAAAGAGATGAGATTTAAAGTTTTTCTTACTCATGGGCAGTGGTACAAGGCAATGTATTGGTAATATTGGCACTTGAAGTGGGGGAGATATACTTAAGGAAAAGAAAAATACTACTTCTTGGGTGGGCTTCATTACACAGATTAAAATTAACTTCCACAGTTTCATAATCTGTATTCCCATGTCTGTCGGACTTCGGACGTTCTGCTTTGTGTCTGCATTATTTTATAGGTCTGTACTTCACAGTTTGCGTATGTACTTCAGTTATTTCAGTTCTTTTAACCTTTCCTTAACCTCTCTTAACCTTTCCTCACCTTAACTGGAAACGTAATAGAATTTTTACGGCCCTTGAAAGCAGGATGAGTGCTGTTTCCGTTTGGTGTTTCAAAGAGTACAGTAAAGAGAGGACTGCCCCAGTCTGGAAGTGCAAGTGAATATATTCCTCACCAACCCCCTGACACAACTACTTTCTCATAGCGTAAGTTACTGTAATTTCTTTTGCAAAAAAGGCAGATAAAGCAGGGGGTTAGGAAGGAAACCAGTAAGGAGTCTAAAAATGTGTGATCTAATGATTAGTAGTAGAATTAACAAGCCACTGTAACAGTTCCACTACAGTTTGTCTTCAACTACAGTACCTCAAACATAAGCGTAGTCATTCCTTGTCTTATTTCAGCTCTGTGCTGTACCCTGAATCGATTCTGTCTTCTCTCTCTGTTACTATCCTTGTAAGCGTTTCCAAAATTCTTTTAATTATTAATTTCCCCCCCCCCCCACTGTAGTTCAATTTTCCATGGAAATACAGAAGTAGAACAGAAGAGGGTTTGTATTTTAAGGTTCAGATCAAAGAGATGCTTAGCTGTGCCCTGTTGTACATGCAGCATACGCTCTCTTTTGAAATACCCAGTACTGAACTGGTTTTGATTTTTTATTATTATTTTATTTTATTTTATTTTTTTTTAAGCACATAGATGTTGGATTTTTGCCCTTGGGTGTGGAACTCACTGCCTGGGCCAGCATTAGGAAATGCTTCCTACATCTGCTGTGAAAAAGTGTTGGATCACAGAGCCGAGCTCAGTTTTCGGCGGAATGGGAATGGGACAGAACGAGACTGAAAAGGCTGGGGAAAACACTTCTGCTATTATGGAGATGGCAGGGGTGTGGACGCGATGTAATTCTCATTATTTCAGAATCAACATAACCAGCGTAGAGGGAGACACCTCAGAGGGACCTCGTTTGTGGTGCATTAGCCCGGGGCTTGGGCATCGGTCATTCTGAGGGTGTTCATACATGGCAGCGAGCGCGGGGAAGCTTGGGTTAGCTCTGATGGAGCCTGTTTGGGTACCAGGAGTAGGCGACCATTGCAGAGGGGCGGCCAGCCTTGCCGGTTGGATCCACACTGCTTCGCTTTTCCAGGGTGGTGTGAAGCTGGAGGCTGAGAAGACGTGAAAAGGGCTTCTGCTTTCTGGGTGAGTGCTTCAGTGGCCAGACTCCAGCAAAGGTAGTGAGCACCAGTGCTCCCATGCAGTCTTGTTCTGGAAAGAGCGCTGGTGGTGGTGTGGATTTTGGTGGGTTTTGGGCTCTTTCAGGGAACTTGCATGGTGTTGAGGCTGCTTCTTGCCTAAATGGATTACAGCTGAGTCTAGGTGAGAAGCAGGTTCCCTCTCTCCAAGAGGGACGCCTTTGATGATGAACAGCAGGTAACAGTAGGCTCTCATATGGCGTGTGTTGATGCCCAAGCGGCTACTGAGCAGAGAGTTTCATCACTCCAGACTCCAGGCACCTAAATTCTGCCAAAACTTAGGCAAAACAAAGACAAGCCATGTGGCTGACATCTGCAGCTTCCCAGTCTCGTGGCAAGGGGCACTCATCGGGCATCCGTCTGCAGAGACAGCAGCGTCCTGCTGCTCCGTGCTGCGTCACCCACTGAGCAGAAAGGCTGGGCTCCCCGAAGCTCCAGTCGTCTGTGTTTTGCGCCGATACAAGAAAAATTTTTTTGACTTGTTATTGATAGAAATCTAACTTAATTTTCCGGTTAATGAGGGCTTAATAGTAGTCTGTTAACGTCATCACGGTTCAGCTGATTTCCCTTCTTGGCTAAGCGTGTGTCCTTTGCTTTTTTTTTTTTTCCTCTCCGTGCCAAAAGGAAGCAGCTAAAAGAGTCAGCGTTGCTGAGGGGCAGAGCGTATCTAGGAGGGTGCTGCTCCCATTTAGCGCTGGTGCCCGTGCAGTTCTGCGCGTGCTGCCCAACACCACCGTCCCACACCTGCTCAGAGCTCTTCTCCTGGCTCCTGCTTTACCCGTGGACTTCGGCATGCAGATGTATGTATGTACTGCCTTCAAACGACCACCGGGTTTTACATTTTTAAAAACTCTTCTTTTTTTTCTTAAGCCTTATTTTGTCAGGACCCTTGCAGCTGGCGTTACATAGCGCACACACCTACCCAGTTATCACTTCGACCATTTCATCATCTTCAGCTTCATAGTTGCTACAGTAGACAGTTGTGTGGATAACCTTGAATGAGTTTCCTTGGCAGGTATTAAAACCACAAGGAAATCCAAAGTAGCTCCATGAAAAAGGCATTTCTTGATGAAACTATTTGCAGGAGACTGAAATGGGGAATACAAAATGAAAACCCAGATCAGCAGGAGGAAAATGGCTGTGGGGACACCAGCGTGGGTTCCTGCACCCATCATCATGGACCTGTTTTAACCACGAAGCAGCTAATGCAGAGAGGTCAGCCCTGCTGAGCAGGGAACGGACCCTGCTGGCAGATGCTTACTGCTATTTATGTTGTGCATTATCACAGCGAGCTTTGCATCTCTGTTGCGATTTTGATTTCTGACTTTAGGTTCCCCATTTCTCATCGTGTCTAATAAATTAAATTGAATTTGCAAAATATTACAAAGTGACATTAGGATGCGCCTGTTAACAGAGTAGAATAAATTAATTGCACGCCGTGAACTAACTGAACTCCTTCACTAATTGATGGATTAATTTAATCATGTCTGCTACAAATAGGAGAACTGGAACACTGGTGGAATAAAGAGCTAACTCTCCTCTTCACTAAGTCATTAGGGTTTCTTCAGGTTTAGTTTTCCTTAGTCTAGTAATGGCTGCATATTTAGAAGGGGGAAGTTACACCAGTCATTTGCAAGTTGGGGTTCTCCTCTGTGATTCTGTCCTACACCACTTCCAGGCTGACATCTGCCTCTTGGATTCATTTGAAACTTTGACGTTTCCAGCTGCTTTTTCCTAGCCAAATATTAGCACTAGTTCTTCATCCTTACCTTTTTTCACTGATTAAACATTCAATACCATTAATCATGTTGTCCAGCTCAAAATTCCATCCTGACGGGATGTCTATAATTCTGGGGGGTTTTGTGATCTTTGTTAATCATATTCTTAATGTACACAACGACATTCTCTCCATGCACAATCTGCATCTTCTCTCTTCCAGATTTCCTCTGCAAACATCTATTTGACTACTGCCTCTGTGCAGTCAAGTTCCAGGTCTGCACCTCCGTCCATTGTTTTATTTCTCTCCTGAGATGTTTGCCTGACTTGCGCCCATGTGAACTGAGAGCAATCAGCTGCAGCTCACTACAGTTTCAACAGAAGGGAGCTTTTTCCCATGCCAACCCTCTGTAAATGCCATAAAAATACCTTTTTATTTAAGCCTCTATTTTAAAGCTATACCTTCCTGTGATGCCTAGAGTACATAGGCCATCGGGCTCTTAATCTGCCTTTATATCAGCTTTTACTGTCTCACTATTCTTTATGCTTCTTTTTTTTTAATGTCTCTTCATTCTTCCTAACCTCAGGCAGTAAACTAGAAACCAAACTCCTTTTGTTCTGTTTTATATGAAGCTCCCAGACCGGTGCTTGGTCCATGACAGGGACTCTGCCCTGCGACAGCAGCTTTCCAGTGCCTCCCTTGGAAATCACTGGGAAGGTGAATACCTGCATAGCTTCAAGATCTACACAAACTGAGGTCCTTGGGTCCCAAAGAAAATCAGACTAGAAACAGAACTTCAGCCTTCCTTGCTTTAATGCTCAAATTATGAGATACCGACCTCATTTAGAATGATAGAATGGTTTGGGTTGGAAGGGACCCCTAGAGGTCACCCAGTCCAACCCCCCTGCAGGAACAGGGACACCTTTAACCAGGTCAGGTTGCTCACAGCCCCATCCAACCTGGTCTTGAATGTTCCCAGGGATGGGGCCTCCACCACCTCCCTGGGCAACCCCTGCCAGGGTTTCTCTGGGCCCCCTTTAGGTACTGAAAGGCCGCAATCAGCTCTGCCCGCAGCCTTCTCTTCTCCAGGCTGAACACCCCCAACTCTCCCAGCCTGGCCTCACAGCAGAGGGGCTCCAGCCCTCGGATCATTTTAGTAGCCCTCCTCTGGCCCCGCTCCAACAGGTCCATGTCCTTCTTGTGCTGAGGGCTCCAGAGCTGGACGCAGGGCTCCAGGGGAGGTCTCACCGAGCAGAGTAAAGGGGCAGAATTTACCGCTTCGAAAGATGGAGCCAATTACAGGGAGGAGACTGAAAAGATCACAAGTAAGCTGCAGCAAAATGCATATGTGTATGTTAGGTTTTTCTGATAGATAGGGACGTTATTTTTCTAATGTGACTAAAGTTGCTCAATAGCTGTAGGAGATAAAAGCAAAAACTACTCCGCAAAACAAAATTCTTTTCAAAATCCGACAGCCACTTTTCCCCATCTCTTGCTTGGCTGTGTTTAATATGTGGAGCATCATGTTGTGGTCCGCTAATTAGCTCTATAATTTTCATGGCGTATGCCAGCATCAGTGTTTATTATTGAAGCACAATGTCTGTTTTTATCCTGATGATGCGTTTTGTCCTGTAACAGTAGTCAAATGCACGAACTGAGTAGTAAAAGGGCTTCAGGAGTTAAGGATCAGTAAATACTCAAAGCTGTGTGTGGTCGGGTGGATGTAATCAATTCCAGTGCTGCCAGATGCTGGCTGGTTGATCCAGATGACAGAGAAGCATCCTTCTTCGGCATGCAGTGAAGATCCCTCATCTCTTCCAGTCTCTAGCACGACTTACAGGCCATTAAGCAATCCCTAAAACCTTTAGGTAAATCTGTCATCCCTCTTTCTTCAAAGCCAGAAGAAACAAAGCTCTTTAATTAGGTTGGCATAGCCTGGCCTAACCGAAAAGATGCAGAAATGGGGAGGGGAACGTGTAACCGCCGAGTGGTTGTGTTTCTTCTGCTGGTCGAGGAGATGGGCAGTTCCTGGAGGGTCCGCGCTGTCCGTGGCTCTGGGATGCTGCAGTGATGGGAAGTGTTGGCTGGCTGTGTTCCTGTTTCATTCTGTAAGAAAATGAGGTAATCCGAAGTGGAACCAAACTGGTTAAAAGGGTACCGTAGCCATGTGACCTTTTTCTGCTTTTATAAGGGGAAGCTAAAGTAGAAATGCAAACACTGATTTAAATAAACCATTTTCTAAATTCCAGGTGCTGATCTCATGAGAGCGCCTTGCATATGCCAAAAGAAGAACGTGTTGTTTGGGGGAAAACCTATTTATAAATACATACAAACTGAAAGGTAAATAATTTCTGTTTCCAGTAAATGGATAGAATATGCTCTCTGCATTGGTTATGTTTCCTGCTGTGACGTATGTAGCGTAAATATATCTGGTATATATTGTGTTTGCCAGTGTGCAGGAAGCGGATATCTTTAAAAATTCAATTTCTGGTTCTTTGCTTCTTCAGCATAACAAAGAAGGGTTGAAAGGTGGCTTGTTTTGCTCTGAAAATATTTCTGGCTTGGGTTTGGGGTTTTTTTGCGGTGTCATACGTGATGGGAGGAGTAAAGAATATTTGTCTTCAGCTAAAAGATCCTCTGCAGTCTGTTTGTCAGGCGTGGGAATTCAGCTGGGATTAAAAACAATCACACTTGGAGCGGTCTGATTGAATTTCCTATCCCTCCTAATTGCTATCAGTTTTTTTCCGTGTGATGACACTAATTTCACTTCCTCTTCAGTAATCGTGGAATCTTTCAAAGTAGTCAGAATTTGAGTTTGTAGGGTTCTTTTCCTGCTATAATACAGAAAAATAAATGTTTTTGTGCGTGTTTATTTTTATTTTTAAAAGCTACGTAAGAGCAATTCTTTCCAGGTCACCTTTTACCCTTGAACAGCCAAACTAGCACCATCATTTACATAGCGATGTAAAGGAATCCAGTGCTGAAGGTAAGCAGAGGGGCAGAGGAGAGCTACAAGCGCCTGGTTTTAAGAGCTCACTTCGTAGTGCCATAAGTGGATGCGATACAATGCGCGGCACAAGAATATAAACGGTAGGTGTAGTTTTTGAGTGCTTCATGACAGGGGCATTTCTGTTCAGCGCTGGGATTAGCACTTCTATTGAAACTTACATAACAGCTACGTTGCCAGGGTGGTTTCTAAAAATGATGCTCATCGCTTTCCAGATTCCGAAAGCTTTAAGACAGAAGAAATATTTTAAACTGAAGATTATTATTTTTTTTTTTTCCCCCCTGATGATCATCGTATTTTCTCCCAGATCCCAATGAGATACTTCTGCATACGTAAGACAGCAGTGGGGATGGAAGAAAAAAGTTCTTATAACGTAAAGACACGGGCAAGAAGCAGTGAGTTTTGTTGTGGGTAACTTTGGTAACATTGCCTTTGTTGATATATCTTAGAATCCCAGCATGGCAGGAGTTGGAAGGGACTTCTGGAGATCACCCAGTCCAACCCCCCCCCGCTAGAGCAGGGTCACCCAGAGCGGGGTGCACAGGACATCATCCAGGTGGGCTTTGAGTATCTCCAGAGAAGGAGACTCCACCACCCTCCTGGGCAGCCTTGTTCCAGTGCTCTGTCACCTAGGGAACAACAGGGAATTGTGTTGTTCATTATGGTTGTCCCATCTGATTTCTAAAGTACAACATCTGCCACTTCTGTCCAGCAAATCATGATGCCTGTGGGGTAAACCCCCCCTATATTCCTGTCTCTGTTGCCCCAAAGATTGCTGTTCGACAGAAGAGCAGTCAGCTGCTATGGTGATGGCACAAGATGGGAACATGGACAGAAATAGAGTGGTGAGGCTGAAGCCAGACTATTCCTGCTTCCTTACCATTTCAGTAGCCCTTCTGAAGATGGTGGTGACTGATGTCAAGGGGTTAACGAGTTATTTCGCTGTTTTCTGACTCAAATTCCTGCAAACAAGGCAAAATAATACTCAGGCAAAAAGGAGAGCGAGATACTAAAATTGATCGTGTTTGTACAGGACTGCATATAATTCCCTGCAGTACAGCTTGTGCCCGTTGTGCTTGAATTTGGATGCAGAGAAATCTCCCTCCTCCCATACAAATTGAAGTCAGTTTTCAGTAATGCATAATTCATACATACCAAAGCTTTTGTCACAAAAACATTGCACTGTTTTTCCCTTAGCTCAATAAGCCTGCTTTTGTATTTTTAGGATTTCTGTTCCCTAATAATCTCCCAAATCAGCCTGAAGAGATTTCAAAACAGAATTCAGAGTAAATCTGAGACAACTTTGAGAATATTGCTCTACGTAGTAAGTGATTCTCTGGCACCTGCTATTTACAGATCCTTCCTCCACAAAGAATTACTTCCCCATGGCATGGGGGCACACCACTGCCATGGAGTCAGTGTGTGGGTGGACTGGAGCTCAGGGTAGGCTATCAGGAGGTTTGTAGAACCAATTTAGATACCTCTTACAAGGAGCATCCACGTGCATGCTGCTGTATGAAACAGAGACGGCGATTTCTTTTGATGAATTTTGAAGCTCCTCCAGTCAAAAATGACCCCTTCCATAGGGAACATGATTCGTTTATTCTAGCGATGGGGGTTAGCAGTAAACCTTGATGGCCTGAGACCTTATTGCCCTCTACAGCTGCCTGACAGGAGGCTGTAGCGAGGTGGGGGTCGGTCTCTTCTCCCTGGTAATGGACGATAGGATGAGGGGGAATGGCCTCAAGTTGCACCAGGGGAGGTTTAGGTTGGACATCAGGAAAAAAAATTTCAGTGAAAGAGTTGTCAGGCATTGGAATGGGCTGCCCAGGGAAGTGGTTGAGTCCCCATCCCTGGGGGTATTTAAAAGCCAGGCAGACGAGGTGCTTAGGGACAGGGTTTAGTGGTAGGATGGCAGGGTTAGAGTAACAGTTGGACTTGATGACATTAAAGGTCTTTTCCAACCTAAACGATTCTATGACTCTATGATTCTAAGTACACCCACGTAAGGTCAGGTTTTGAGGAGCAGTAACTTGTCTAAAAGCCCATGTAAGAGGCTGGAGGAAGAGCAGAATGATTATGAAGCTGCATTTCAATTTATCTTTTTGAAGAACAACACAGAGGGGGGACTAATTCGAACAGCTTCTCATATTTTTATTTTTCCAGATTCTGAGGGCAGATCTGAATAACGAATTACTTCAAAAATACACACCGAAAATTGTACATGGCGGAAGGTGTTTTTTCTGAGGTATAGCACATCTGTGTCCCTCCTCCTGTCAGCTGATAACTGCAGATACCTTGCAGCATCAGCCATCAGACCTTTCTGTAGGAAGCTTTGAGAAGCTTCTGAAATCAAAAAGATGAATGTATTGTACATACGTACCAGGTAGGGATGTTTCAGTAGTGGAAAATACCGGTTTTTATTTGAGGGCTGTTTGCTTGTTCCAGGGGAATGCTCACCAGATCACTTACTTGGTAGCTCTCTTCAGTACAGCTAACCAGAGCACAGGAAGGAAGGAGAGGGATGTGAAATACTGACCATTACTGTCAAAATTCTCTGTACTGATGACAGGATCAGTATAGGGAATTTCGACCTTAGTGGTCTATTATGTCATTAATTTCCTCCCCCAAATGCTTTGTCTTCTTACATGTCTATGTCAAGCCAGTGCAGACCGTCCGGTCATACTAAATTCCAGCTGCAGAGGCTTTGATTGTTTCTTGCACATTGCCAATTTTAAGATAACAAAATTGTTAAGCAAGAAAAATATAAGTTGAAAAACTTAGGCAGCAGGCCAGTGGGGAAAGCTGGACCTTGTATAAAAAAAACTCGTAAAACTTGAGTAAGAACCTCAGTTTGGTGTATTGATTTTCTTGTTAAAGTTCAAGAACCGTGTTTCATTTCAGGCTGAAACTCATCTGAACTCCTCGTGACCAGCTGAGCAAGGGAGATGGGATTTGATGCTATCC